CCTTAGGCCATTATGTTCCTCAACTCTCTCGACTGATACTAAATCATAACAATGGTATCACTTTGGCCGAAAATCAATCTGAAGGGATTCTTGGTGAGATAATTAACATGGAATCTCGGGTGGCAGCAGATTCTTTTTGATAAGAAAGAAAGATTAAAAGAGAATGGTATTTATTCTCTTATAATGGTGTGTGAAATAATGTACATGAGAAGCCTTTATATAGGCTTAGAGGAGTAAATGAGCCTAGCATTCTTCCTATGTGGGACCAAAGAGAAAGAAGAGATGTAAAGGAAAACCTACAAAACTATACAACATGTTCTAACACCCCCCCTCAAACTCAAGGTGGATCAAATAACGAGAGTTTGGAAAGAAGAAATTTAAATCGTTGTGATGTAAGAGCCTTTGTAAAACAATCGGCAAGTTGATTCTCAGTTCCAACAAAAGGAAGTGAAATAGTGCGAGCTTGGAGATGATGACGCGACGCGGACAATAGATCTCTCTATCTTTGGTAGGTTCCTGAAAGAAAGGGTTTTGTTACCACAAAAAGGAAGCGCACTTTGTTTTAAAAAACGGAGAGGGGTACGATCCAAAAAAACTCCCCCAAAACAAAAAGACAACGAAAACCAACACCCCCACCGCCTTACTGCCGAACCAGCCACAACGCACGGACTGAGGCAGAGGAGCGTAAGACAATATGTTGTTTCATAAAACGACCGAAAAAAAAAAAAAAAAACCACAAAAACAAAATGATAACATATTTATTTGTTTACTGTGGAAGCCCAATCAGCATCAGAATAGGCACGCAACTTGAGAGCAGAAGAAGATGGTAGAAATAAGGAACGCGATAAAGTGCCTCGAAGATAGCGCAGAATCCTTAGAACAGCTGCATAATGAGTTGTTCGAGGAGCAGTAACAAACTGACTGACAACATGAACAGCATAGGCGATGTCGGGTCGGGAGATAGTAAGATAAATAAAACTGCCAACCAAGGTCCGATAGCGGGTGACATCAGAAAGAGGTTCTCCATCGTCTGGGCAAAACTTTTGATTTAGCTCAATAGGAGTGGCAGCAATACGTGAATCTGATAGAGCAGCCCTGGACAGAATATCAGCGGTATATTGCTGCTGAGAAATGAGAATACCACGTGAACTGCGAGCAATCTCAAGCCCAAGAAAATAGCGCAGTGGTCCTAGATCCTTCATGGCAAAATGTTGCTGAAGGTGCCGCTTGGTATGCTCAATATGGTCACGATCATCTCCGGTGATGACCATATCATCAACATAAAGAAGAAGAATAGTGCAGCATGAAGAAGAGGTATGAACAAACATAGCATGATCAGCCTCACTTTGAATGAAACCAGCAGACTGAATAGCATCACTGAACTTCTCAAACCAAGTACGAGGGGCCTGTTAGAGACCATAAAGAGCCCGTCGCAAGCGGCAAACCTGTCCAGAGGTATGAGCAAGACCAGGCGAAGGTTGCATAAAGATATCTTCTTGAAGATCACCGTGAAGAAAAGCATTCTTCACATCAAGCTGAAAGAGAGGCCAACTGCGAATTGAAGCAACAGCTAATAAAGTACGGACATATGTCTTCTTTGCTACGGGAGCAAAGGTCTCCTTATAGTCGATACCATACTCTTACGAGAAACCTCGAGCAACTAGACGACTTTGTTACGCTCAATACTGCCATCAGAATGAGTCTTAATCTTATATATCCATCGGCAAGATACGAGGGAGCGACCTGGAGGAAGAGGCATAAGCTCCCAAGTACCGGCATTTCCAAAGCCGAGAGTTCCTCGGACATAGCCTGGCGCCATTCTACATCTTCGAATCGCCTCGCGATAACTATTAGGTTCTTGTACAGCATGAACAGCAGCTAAAAAGGATCCAAACTCAGTAGAATAAGAAGTAGCAGCAACATACCGGGCAGGTGGACACCGATCTCGAGGAGGATTACGGCGTGGCTCTAGTTGTGCAGAATCGTCAAGGGCAGATACAACAGGAGGTACAGCACAAGGGGATAGGTGAAGATGGAGAAGGTGGCAATATATCTAGATCCGATGTAGAAGAGGGACTAGAAGGATCAGGTAGAGGATCAATAGGAAAATCCATAAATGGAACAGGAGACGAAACATGAGGTGTAGTATTTGTTGAAAAGAAAGGGATGTGTTCATGAAACGTAACATCACGAGAAATATGTACACGTCGCGCATTTGGGTCATAACAACGATAACCTTTGTGCTCAGTGCTGTAACCCAAGAATGCACATGGGATAGAGCGGGCGGTAAGCTTTGTATGTTCAGTGAGTGGAAGAATGACAAAACAAGTACATCCAAAAACTCGAAGATGATTATAGCTAGGAGGTCGAGAGTAGAGACGCTGAAACGGGGTGTCTTGATGGAGAACAGATGAGGGTAGGCGATTAATTAGATGAACAGCCGTAAGAAGAGCCTCAGCCCAGAACTCAGTGGGAACGGATGTGCCAAGTAAGAGAGCTCGAGTGGACTCTAGAATATGACGGTGCTTGCGTTCAGCAACTCCATTTTGAGCTGGAACCCAGGACAAGATAACTGAGGAAGTGTACCATCACTAGCTAAGAGGGAACGAAAGACACCAGAGAGATATTTTCTCCCTGAATCTGAATGGAAAACTTTGATTTTTGTATTAAATTGTGTGGAAACCATGGAAGTAAAAGACTGATAGATAGTAAAGAAATCACTACGTTGGCGCATAAGATAGACCCATGTATAACGAGAATAATCATCAATAAAAGATACATAATATTTGAAACCACTCTTGGAAGAGAGCGGGGCAGGACCCCAAACATCAGAATGAACAAGATCGAAGATCGCACTAGTTCTAGAGTTACTAACAGGAAAAGGCTTAGCAGATTGCTTGGCCAAAGGGCAGATAGAACATGGAGGAAGACTACCAGAAGAAATAGGACCCAAAGCACCTTGTTGGTGAAGGACGGTGAGACGAGAAGACGGAATATGTCCAAGACGTTGATGCCACCGAACAAGATCGAGGGTAGCCAACACAGGATGAGGAAGAGAGGAAGTTGGAAGATGGAGATGTTGCATAATATAAAGTCCATCCCGTCTACTGCCCCTGCCAATCATCTTGCCACTCAAACGATCCTGCACAAAGCAAGAGCTATTTGTAAAGCTTACAGTACATCCAGCATCGGTGAGTTGTCCAACAGATAATAAATTGAGAGCCAAAGAGGGAACATGTAACACATCAGGGACATTGAAATCTTCAGAGACGGTAAGAGTACCCTGTCGGGTAGCTAGTAGAGGAAAACCATTAGCAGTAAAGAAATGTGCTGGTTGCTTGAGCTCAGAGAGCTTAGTGAGAAAAACAGCGGAAGTAGACATATGTCTAGCAGCTCCTGAGTCAAGTACCCAAGTAGAAGAAATATCACCTGAAGGTGGAGTAGCTGCAGCGGTGCTTCTAGCAGATGAGAGAGTTGTAGAAGTACCAGAATCGGCAAATGACCTGGGCAGAGAAGGACTCAAACGGGCAAGTTGGGCCTCAAGAGCAGCAATACGGTCATCCGTAGAGGGAGAAACCAGAGTAATAGGTTGAGAGATTGGAGATGCGGTAGTGACTCGTGGTGATGCAGAAAGGCGTGAAGCATTCTTCTTCTTCCAACAATGTGACTCGTCATGACTAGGACGATGACAATACGTACATGAAAGGTGGCGAGGACCACGAGTAGGCGAAGGATGTGGTGGAGCAACCAAAACTGTAGGCGAAACACGTGGTGGAGCAGCCAAAATAGCAGTTGAATCAGAAACTGCCGAGGAGGAAAGAAGACCAAGACGAGTTTCCTCATATTGTAATTCTTTGACAGCGTCAAGGAGGGATGGTCTTGGAGAGCAGTGAAGAAGTTGGCCGCGAACACCTTCATAGGGAGAGCCGAGCTTCATAAGAAAAGAATGTAGACGGTGCCTATCTTGAGTCTGAAGTCGAGTAGATGGACACCGAGTACAGTTCAGGCATAATGGGCAAAGAATAGGAGCAAGAATATCCAGTTGACTCCAAAGTGAGTGCATGTAATTGTAGAAATCTCGAATAGAGCGAGACCCTTGCGTAGTACTGTAAACTTCTTACTCTAACTGATAAACTCGAATATCCCCTGTCTGGGTGAACATCTCGGCAAGCTGATCCCATAGACTTTTCGCCTCAACAACATTAGAAAATTGTGGGCGAAGAGCAGGATCAATGGAACCAAAAATGATAGCCCATGCCTTCCGATCAGCAACATTCCATGCTCGAATTTCAGCGGCACGTTTCGCAACTTCATCATATAATTCACTTTTAAGAGTACCAGGATAAGGACAAAGTCCCTCAACATGCTCAAACAAGTCGCGGTAAACAAGTGCTGCCATTGCCGATGGTTTCCAAAGAGAATAGTTTGAACCATCGAGTTTGACGTTAATACGGTCACTAGAATCACCCATGACGACAAAAAAAGAAATCACTAGCAAAGCTAGAAATATGGATTGAGGTGATCGAAAGGATCGAGAAAGAAGAAGCGCGGATTAGAACGAGCAAGGATGATGGCCAAAAAGCCCTAAACTCATTATCTTAATTTATGATGCGGAAGATCCAATTTATGGCAACCGCAGAGCATACTTTAAAAGATAATGAGCTCATTGTCTTAATTTCTGATGCGGAAGATCCAATTGATGGCAACCGCAGAGCATGCTCTTCAAGACAATGATCTTGGCTCTGATACCATGATAAGAAAGAAAGATTAAAAGAGAATGGTATTTATTCTCTTATAATGGTGTGTGAAACAATGTACATGAGAAGCCTTTATATAGGCTTAGAGGAGTAAAGGAGCCTAGCATTCTTCCTATGTCGGACCAAAGAGAAAGAAGAGATGTAAAGGAAAACCTACAAAACTATACAACATGTTCTAACACTTTTTACTACTGAATTCAGCTAAACTTTTGCTCTTTTGTTGGGGAAAAAATTTACTTAGGAAATCCTACTCTTGACCGACCAACTAGAGATCCTGGAAGGTACGAGTACATTTGGAATCACGGGCTTATTTCAGACACTACATACGAAAATATGCGGAACTTTTGCACTGTGGATGGAGATCCTGAAGGCTGCCATAAGGCATGGATTGAAGCAAACACAAATGAAATTGGAGATGTAAATGGCTATAACATATATGTGAGACCATGCGGGAATAACACCGCACAGGTGAGATAGCTCCCCAATTTATTTCAGAGGCAAGAACAGAAATATAAAGCAATAGCTTCGAAGTTTATCCAGTCTTTTTCTCTGGAAGCAGGATTTGATGTATAGAAATGGGGAGGATTTCTGCCTGGAGACCGACCCTGTGAAGTACATGAAAAGGAAAGAGGTTCAAGAGTCCTTCCACGTCGACACCTCCTATATTCCACTGAACTACACTCTCTGCAGGTCTTGTTCATGAGACAAGAACTTTGCTCAAATCAAGGGCATGCGAAACTTCTGGAGATTAATCTTCTGATTTGGCTTATACAGTTAATGGAATGTCCATATCAGATACGTACAGCAAGAGTGATACAAAATCATCGGTCCTACCAATCCTTAAAGAACTCATAGAGACTCACTTGCGGATCTGGATATATAGGTGAGGTGTACTGTAGAATATGCTGGATAGGCTTGAGATGTACCCATGGTGGAATTAATTGGTAGGATTAGTGCCCATTCATATGTAGTAATGGACATTTCTTCTAATTCATCACAGATGTGTGTATTCTCTTACCGTAATTTAGTGGTGTCGAGTGTCGACTTTTCATGGATCATTGTCTTTTCTTGAGTAGTGGGACAACAGATGCAACCGTTCCGTTGTCAACAACCTGACGCAACGTTGCGGCACTAAAGTTGAAGGTGTTGGGATTTTGGCATCCAAATCCCATATAATTGAATGAAAAGTGTGTGGATGAAAGTGTCCAGCATAGGATAGAAGAGGTGATGGGAGATGGCTTATTTTGAGGAGCCTCTCAAATGGGTTTGGGTCCCAAGGAATACCCCACTTTTGTGGAAGGAAGAGGACCTATGCCAAGCTAGGTCGGTCCCCCGCGCGCGCGTACCGCCATCGCCGTCCGTCCGGCCGGGTCCATTCTCTATCGATTTTTTATTTTTTTCCGAACAGACACGTTGTTAGAAATTAATTAATTACTTATTTTTTGGACAAACAAACATGTTTTTTCGTGAGGTTCGGTTTGCCCGAACGAAAACCGCTTCGATTTGAGTGAGCCTTCGTGACTGTTCACGAACCGAACCAGTTCAAGTGAACCTTCGCTACTGTTCACGAATCGAACGGGAACCGCAAGCGAGTCTTCATTACTCGCAACTCTTCATTTTCGCCAAATACATATATCCGAACAGTTTAGTTCGGAAAGTGACACTTCGTGGCATTTATATTCCCGCGATACATTTTCCCGACGCGCTCTAGACATTTTTCACTTCATCATTTTGTGCAATTATTCTGCGAAGTTGCGTTCGAAGGAGTCCTCCGAATACGTACCACTTCGGAGCAACGAGATCCGTTCTATCCTGGAAGACGATTGTCCAATATCCCCAGGTACTGATTGAGAGGCCAAATTTATCTTAAGGACACGATGTTACTTTGTTGGGCTCGGATCAACATTCTGTTTATTTATTTGTACTGCTTTCAGGTTAATTTTCCTGACGTTTGATTTCAATTTCTGGTGTACGAACTTAGCCGACAACAATCTTAAGACGAATTTGCGTTGAAATGTTATTCTATGTTCAATTATCTTCGGTTTTGTTCGTATAATGATTTGCATGGTCTGCGTATTCTTCTGAGTAGTTCGTATACTTCTGAGTTATTCTAGATTGGCATTCCTTTAAGGCCAACCTTTGTTGTTCGTATACTTCTGAGTTAATACAAGTATTCTGTATAGTTCGTATGTTCCTGTCATAGTCGTATAGTATTTTTGTTGGGATTATTTTGTTATGTAGTTCGCTTAGTTTTTGACGAATTTCTATCATATCGTTCAATTCTGCTTGTGTCGAAATTCTATTACAATATTCGGAAATTTTGTATTCAGCATACGATTCTATTCATACATACATTCTGCTCCTGTTACAATTTTTTTTTAATTCTGTTCGTGAACAGATTTTTCGTTTTTGTTCATATTAAAAATTTTCAATTATGTTCATGAACAAATGATTCTGTTCGTAGTCATATATTTCCGATTCTATTCGTGAATATGTTTTGTTTTTGTATTTCATAAATGGCTTCGACTTCGACTCCAGTCAACCCTATTCCGAATCACGGAGAAAAGCTAGAAAAGTTCAATGGTACGGATTTCAAGAGATGGCAACAAAAGATGTTGTTCTATCTCACGACCTTGAACTTGGCTATATTCCTCAATGAGGATGGTCCTAAATTGGACGTTGAAGAGACAAATAAAGAAAAGGTTGCTGCTGTGAATGCATGGAAGCATTCTGACTTCCTATGTCACAACTATGTCCTTAACGGTCTGGATAGTACTCTCTATAACGTCTATAGTCCGCTGAAAATAGCTAAGGAGTTATGGGATAGTCTGGACAAGAAATACAAAACCGAAGATGCCGGATTGAAGAAATTCATTATCGGTAAATTTCTGGACTTCAAGATGATTGATTCAAAGACTGTCTTAAGTCAGGTTCAAGAGCTTCAAGTGATTATGCATGATATTCATGTTGAAGGAATGACTCTAAGTGAGTCATTTCAAGTGGCTGCCTTCATTGAAAAACTGCCACCATCCTGGAGAGATTTCAAAAATTATCTCAAACATAAGAGAAAGGAGTTGTCACTTGAAGACTTGATTGTTCGGTTGAGGATTGAGGAAGACAATAGGCTCTCTGAGAAGAAAGTTGTGAAGAACCTAGAGGTTTCAAAGGCCAATGTTGTTGAAGAAGGATCGAAACCCAACAAGAAGAGGAAAATGCCTAGCAAGTTTGGAGAGGGATTCACCCAAGGCCTGAAGAAGTTCGTTGGCAAGTGCTTTAACTGTGGCAAGTTTGGACATCTAGCCAAAGACTGCAGAGCCAAGAAAAGACAGAAAATTCAGGCTAATGTGATGGAAGAGATTTCCAATGGTGTTGATGATATCAATCTGACTGCTATGATATCCGAGTGTAATATGGTGGGAAATTCCAAGGAGTGGTGGATTGATACTGGAGCAACTCGTCATATCTATGCAAACAGATCGATGTTCTCGTCCTATACAACTATGTGGGGGTGATGAAAAACTTTATATGGGTAATTCATCAACCTATAAGGTTGAAGGTGTCGGAAAGATTGCTCTGAAGATGACATCTGGAAAGATTGTGACACTAAATAATGTTCTGCATGTGCTAGATGTTCGCAAGAATTTAGTATCTGGATCTCTCCTTAGCAAGAATGGCTTCAAGTTGGTTTTTGTATCTGATAAGTTTGAACTTTCCAAAAATGAGATGTATGTAGGAAAGGGTTATCTGAGTGATGGTTTGTTCAAGCTGAATGTAATGACTATTGTAACCAAGGATGATTTGAATAAAGTTGCTTCTACTTATGTGCTTGAGTCTTCTAATATTTGGCATGCTAAACTAGGACACGTTAACTATAAGTCGATAAAGAAATTAATGAATATGGGATTGTTGCTGAAGTTTGACTGTCCAAGTGAGAAATGCCAAGTGTGTGTTGAATGTAAATTTTCTAAGCCTCATTTCCATTCTGTGGATAATAGAGTTACAAAACCTTTAGATTTAATACACACAGATATATTCGATATGAAATCAATACCGTCAAGAGGTGGTAATAAGTATGTTATCATATTTATAGATGACTGTTCAAAGTATTGTTATGTTTATTTGCTTAGTAGCAAAGATGAGGCTGTGAATGCTTTTAGTACGTATAAATCTGAAGTTGAAACTCAGTTAAATAAGAAATTAAAATGATAAGAAGTGATAGAGGAGGTGAATATGAATTTCCTTTTGAGGAAATTTGTACTGAGTTTGGTATCGTTCACCAAATAACTGCTCCTTATACACCACAATCAAATGGTGTGGGGGAAAGGAAAAATCGATCTCTAAAGGAAACAATGAATGCATTGTTGAACAGTTTTGGTTTACTGCGGAATTTGTAGGGGGAAGCTGTCTTAATAGCAAATTTTATTTTAAATAGAGTACCCCACAAAAAGACACGACAAACTCCCTATGAGAAATGGAAAGGCAGAATGCCTAACTTGAATTATCTCAAATTGTGGGGGTGTTTGGCTAAGGTTGTAGTTCCTAAGCCTAAAAAGGTTAAGATAGGACCAAAGACCGTTGACTGTGTTTTTATCGGATATGCTTAGAATCGCAATGTATATCGTTTTTTTGTTCACAAGTTAGAGATCCCAGATATACATGTTAATACGATCATTGAATCAAGGGATGCTTCGTTCTTTGAAAATATATTTCCGTATAACATAGTATATGAGCCAATTGATACTAATAAGAGGCCTCGAGATACTATATCTAGAAGTGATCCAATGGAGGATGAACCTAGACGTAGTAAAAGACAAAGCACTTCCACGTCTTTTGGACCTGATTTCTTAACGTATCTGTTAGAGAATGAGCCTCGGACATTCAAAGAAGCTGTGACATCGCCAGAAGCCCCGTTCTGGAAAGAAGCTATCAATAGTGAAGTTGAATCCATCTTGTCAAACCATACATGGGAATTGGTTGACCTTCCTCCTGGTAATAAACCACTACAATGTAAGTAGATTTTCAAGAGAAAAATGAAAGCGGATGGTACTATTGATAAATATAAGGCTAGGCTTATAGTAAACGGATACAAGCAACGAGAAGGTCTTGATTATTTTGATACTTATTCACCTGTTACTAGAATTACATCTATAAGGATGCTAATTGCTATAGCAGCGGTGTATAAGCTTGAAATCCATCAAATGGATGTGAAAACGGCTTTCTTAAATGGGGATTTGGAAGAAGAAATATATTTGAAACAACCTGAAGGGTTTATTGTTCAAGGACAAGAGAAGAAAGTATGTTGGCTTATCAAGTCACTCTATGGATTGAAACAAGCACCAAAACAATGGCATGCTAAATTCGACCAAGTCATGTTGTTGAATGGTTTTAAGATTAATGAGTGTGATAAATGTGTATATGTTAAGGACACTCATAATGGTTTTGCCATTTTGTGCTTATATGTAGACGACATGCTTATAATGGGCAGCGATAGTGAGGTTGTTAAGGCGATCAAACGCATGCTCACAAGTAAATTTGATATGAAAGATATGGGGGTTGCAGATGTTATTTTAGGAGTTAAAATCCATAAGACATTTGGAGGATTAGCTCTATCACAGTCCCATTATATTGAGATCCATAAGACATTTGGAGGATTAGCTCTATCACAGTCCCATTATATTGAGACGATTCTTGGAAAGTGCAAGAATCTAGATATTGTACCAGTAAAGACTCCGATAGATGTTAATTTACATCTTTCAAAGAATACTGGTGAAAGCAAAGCTGAAAATGAGTATGCTAGTATACTAGGCAGTCTAATGTATGTCATGAACTGTATTAGGCCGGACATAGCTTGTGCTGTGAGCAAGCTAAGTCGATTTACAGTTAGTCTAAATGAAAATCATTGGAAAGCTATGAAACGTTTATTGGGCTACTTAAAGCATACTCAAGATTATGCTTTGCATTACACTGAATATCCAGCGGTACTTGAAGGATACTATGATGCAAATTGGATAACTGGCACTAAAGATACAAAATCGACAAGTGGATATGTATTCACACTTGGTGGGGCGGCAGTGTCTTGAAAATCATCCAAACAAACTTGTATTGCTATATCCACTATGGAATCAGAATTTATTGCTTTGGATAAAGCCGGTGAAGAAGCAGAGTGGCTTCGAAATTTCTTGAAAGATATTCTTAATTGGCCTAAACCACTGCCCACTATTTGTATACGTTGTGACAGTCAAGCGGCAATAGGAAGGGTAAGGAATGTCATGTATAACGGTAAGTCTCGACACATACGTCGAAGACATGACACAGTAAGACAACTTCTTTCTAGTGGAATTATCACCATTGACTATGTGAAGTCAAAAGATAATGTTGCGGATCCATTGACAAAAGGCCTAACTAGAGAGATGATTGCGAAAACATCAAGGGGAATGGGTTTAAGGCCTATAAACAAGTCATCATAGCGGAAACCCTACCTAATTGACTAGAGATCCTAAGATCTAGGTTCAAAGGGACAACTAAGTTATGAAGACAGTGTAGAGCACCGTCAAATTTTTGACTCATTCCTGGATGAAGACAGTACTAATATGTGAAGGTTAAGCAAAAGCTTTTAATGATTCTGAATTGAGTATGTGACATACTATATGTTCAGAAATCACCTATGTGAGTGTGAAGTGAGGCCCGCTTCTGTGACAATTGAAAAGGCCGAATTCTCTAAAACACTCATGAGACCAGGCAGTGTTCATGGCCAAAACGAACACAACAGTGAGAACCAATTTTGTTCGAGAAACAGTTGTGTGATTTCTATTATCTAGGCTTACACCAAAGGTCGACGGTTAAAAGACATCAAGTCTACTGATTGACCGAGTAAGTCCGATAGGTTTCACTAAGGAAAGCTCAAAATCTCAGACTAGTTATTCTGATGCAACGTTTTCTCATGGAATAATCGCACTTTGCATCTCATGCATACACGAAGAGTCATGATATCATAACTTTTCATTCATGTGGGTGATTGTTGGGATTTTGGCATCCAAATTCCATAGAATTGAATGAAAAGTGTGTGGATGAAAGTGTCCTATATAGGATAAAAGAGGTGATGGGAGATGGTTTATTTTGAGGAGCCTCTCAAATGGGTTTGGGCCCCAAGGGGTACCCCACTTTTGTGGAAGGGAGAGGACCTACGCCAAGCTTGGTCGGTCCCCCGCGCGCGCGCGCCACCGTCCGGCCAGGTCCATTCTCTATCGGTTTTTTATTTTTTTTCGAGCAGACACGTTGTTAGAAATTAATTAATAATTTATTTTTTGGACAAACAAATATGTCTGTTCGTGAGGTTCGGTTCGCCCGAACGAAAACTGCTTCGATTCGAGTGAACCTTCGCGACTGTTCACGAACCGAACCGGTTCAAGTGAACCTTCGCTACTGTTCACGAACCGAACGGGAACCGCAAGCGAGTCTTCATTACTCGCAACTCTTCATTTTCGCCAAATACATAAATCCGAACAGTTTAGTTCGGAAAGTGACACTTCGTGGCATTTATATTCCCGCGAGACATTTTCCCGACGCGCTCTAGACATTTTTCACTTCATCATTTTGTGCGATTATTCTGCGAAGTTTCGTTCGAAGGAGTCCTCTGAATACGTATCACTTCGGAGGAATGAGATCCGTTCTATCCTGAGAGATGATCATCCAATATCTTCGGGTACTGATTGAGGGGCCAAATTCATCTTAAAGACACGACGTTACTTCGTTGGGCTCGGATCAACATTCTGTTTATTTATTTGTACTGCTTTCAGGTTAGTTTTCCTGACGTTTGATTTCAATTTCTGGTGTACGAACTTAACCGACAACAGAAGGTACAGAAGAAATGGTACCCCTGGAACCATAATGATCAGGTAAGCGCCATTGAAATCAGTCAAAGGAAAAGCTTTCATACAATCCATTCACGATTCACCAAAACTAGGCTCTTTGGTTGCCCAGCTTGCAGGTTGGATCGAGGAATATGAAGGATCGACTTGCGTTGCTGTGATGGGCACGGGACATGAAGTGCCGATGTATCTCCCCCCCAGGCGCGTGCTATTTTTAAGAGCTTCTTGTCCAATGCACCAATGCCGAAGGCACCTTCTAAACAGTGAGAAACTCAGGATGAAATCGCTATGAGGGATGATTTATGTTCATTATTAGATATAATGAAAGGTTGATGTCAATCTTTTGTATTCAACGCAAAACAATTGGAGCGATTTCAGAATACTAGAAGCCTGGGAATTCATAATGGGTAGTTAGTCTGAAGTTGCTTGATGTAATTCGAAAGTTCTCGAATACAGTATGTGGAAGGCTAGTGACAAGAACATTACTAGTTGAATGATATTGATGTAAGTTCAGAAGTCAGTATTTTCCTCCTATAAATTTACAGAAAATGATCCCATAGCATTCTGCACAATTGACTCGATAAACATCGACTTGTATTATCCTGGACGTTTCTTGATTAGACAGAGTGAGAACGTCGACTGGAGTTTGAGTTATCTGCAGACCGTCACTTTTATGACCTCCTATCAAAAGAAGTATGTATTTTCCTTTGTTATAATTGACACTCAAATGGTGGTATACGGTCTATAATAATTGAATGAATATGCATAACAAAGTCACTCCCCATGATTCTAGCCTTTGTGAATTCCTAAAAACTCTTCACGTGCGGAGTTGGCCCGATTTTGAACTCTTCATAATAGAATGCACACGGTGATTATCTCTCTCCATAAGTTTTTGGAGAAAGTTTTCCCATATTTCTAGATTCAATCTCTTTTTTTCTAAAGACAAACATTTCTTCATTTATTTGATTCTCTCCATTGGTAAAGAGATGATTATCAACTTAACCATCAAATTGAAAGTCCGCTAGTCCCTTCTATATATGGCGATGTTACATTTTGCCGAAGGTGCGACTGTCCTAACGCATATGGCAATGTGTATCCACCAGTCCTTAAGTCCTTGATTGCATCATCCTTTGATGAAGAGATCATATGAGAGCTTGCTCTTTCGAGCCAAAAGAGACACTCTGGATATTGACTGGTTATGTTATATTTTCTTTCATCTATATGCATCCCTTAGATGCACAGTGTAGAAGAAATATGAGTTTATACCTAAAAAAATCCATTATGGATATTCTGTGTAACGGCATACTTAGGCATACGTCCTGTTAATATTTAGTTTCTTGCTTTTGTTCTTGCTGTTTGTTCCGGTGTTGTTCGGTCTCTTTGAAACTTTGCGACATTTCCAGGACAATTGGGATCGTGTTATAGTTCGAGTGTGCATGATAGTAGAGGACTTAGATTTTCGTGAGTCTTGTGCTGAGTTTTTGGACATTATATGCTCAACTGGGACAATTGAAGAACAATTTGGGATTATGAAAAAAAAAATACACGATATTTACTTATCAAAAAAAGAAATAAGTGCAACCAGATAAATATGGACATAAAAATCTGGAGGAAAAGGATATGTTAGAATGAGGACATGGACGTCAAAGACTTGGACTTGGCGCTTGCGGGTCTTGCGGGTTTTCAAACAGTGACGGGACTAAGGAAGTTGATGTTATCGGCTTATAGCAGATGTAGTTTGCGAAGCCGCTAAAATTGTTTAACTTTTGTGTGAAATTACCGTTGAGTGCGCATATGGTAGATGTGAAAGAAAGAAGTCTCACGTCAGATGTATAAAAGCTAAAACAAGCAATTGATGTGCGTGTGAAAGAAGGTCAAATGACGTGGAAGGCTAGTAATATGAACTTAATCAGTTAAACGAAATTGATCTAAGGTCAAAAGTCAGCCTTTTCCTCTTATTCATTTACAGAGAACGATCATCCTACAGCATCTATAACCATTATGTATTATCCTGGAAGTTGCTTACACACACAGAGAGCACGTCCATTTCATTAAAATCTTGTCAGAATTCGTATTTCTCCAAAAGAAATGCAAACAGAGCAATATAGACCCAAGTCGTCGTATGAGATAAGGACATGGATTCACGACTTCAGTCGGTGCTCGCGGGTCTTGCACGGCAAACCTTGGCCATACATAAAATATCCACAATAATGCTGTGGGTCCAGCCCCGCCGACGATATAGAACAATAATTGGTTTGTTCCCTGTCATTCCTTCCCTGACTCTTTACAAATACCCTTTGTCGACTCCCATGAACCCAAATGCACCCAAACCAAAAGCCTGAAGCCTAATCGAGTGGCTTTCACGTGCAATAGAGCTTTTGTTTTCAATCTCATCATCATTCATGGCGGGGCATGACAGTGTGAAAGTCCTTGCACTAGTAAGTCTGATGTTGATTTTAGACAATGCGTGTGTATGCTTGTGCAGAAACAGAAGCTCAGCCTCCATTTGCTTTGAAGAAGAAACGGATGCTCTAGTCCAACTCAGACAAAGTCTCTCAGACCCATCTAACGTCCTTTCTTCTTGGAACGACAAAGATTGTTGCCAATGGACCGGAGTGACGTGCGACCAAGTAAATGGACATGTTGTCATGCTCCAGATCACACCAGGAGGTGAATTCTGGTCGCCACAAATTTCTTCCATAGCGAATGATCTGAATGATTCTTTGCTCAACTTGAGATACTTAAGCCACCTAGACTTGAGCGGGATCTATTTTTACTACGCGCACATGCCCAAATTCATCGGCTCGATGAAGCAATTGAGGTACCTTAACTTGTCCAACTCTTTCTATGTTGCAACTGTTCCTCATGAATGGGGAAATCTCACTAAGTTGGAAGTCCTCGATCTTCATTGCGAATATTGCTCGGTTGTTCTTGACGACATTATGTGGGTTTCGCATCTTCAAGCATTAAAGTACCTCGACACGAGTGGTCTAAAAGCTACCAACTCTTCTAGAGATCTCATGCAGGTGATCACTAGACTCCCATCTTTATCACATTTGAGCCTATCGGCTTGTGGGCTTCACAATCTTTACCTGCCTTCTGATCACTTGGCCAATTGTACTTCTCTTGGTCTTCAATACCTCGATCTTTCAAAAAATAATTTCGAAGGTCCCATCCCAAGTACTGTATTTCAAAACATGACTTTTCTTCAGCACCTTGATCTTTCATCAAATTTTTTCAACTCTTCAGTATCAAGGTGGTTGTACTCTTTCTTGAGGAACAACCAGTTCCTCGAGTCATTATCCTTGGGCCATAACGAACTCCATGAGGAGATATTTTCAGTCGAGGGAAATTCTTCGGGGCTTATTGGGAAAAACTTGGAGCTACTGGAGATAAGCAATAATTTACTTCGAGGAGCTTTGCCAGATTGGCTGTTTAACTTGAAAAACCTGATAATGCTTGACCTATCACATAATCAGTTACATGGAGCCATCCCGTCATCGTATGGTTGGTTATGCTTGGAAGCACTTATTCTTTCTTATAACCAATTAACAGGGGATATTCCAGAGGCATTAGGAAGATTGCAAGTCTTAGTAGTTTTAGATCTCAGTAACAATCTTCTGAATGGCACTATTCCACACAGTCTCGGACAACTTCAACATCTTTACTGGTTAATTCTTTCAGCAAACTCCTTGAGAGGAACAATTTCTGAAATCCACTTCTCCAACCTCTCGAAGCTATCGTATTTAGATATCAGTAACAATCATTTAGCTTTCGAGGTGGATTCCGACTGGATACCACCCTTCAATCTCACGTTCATTGGGATGACGTCTTGCGAGTTCGCAATGGAATTTCCACGATGGATAAGAACTCAAGTCAGAGCAATAGACATAGCTTTGTCCAATAACTCCATCAGAGGAGCTCTCCCAGATTGGCTAGGTCTCATGTCACTCTCCAAGCTGAATCTCTCCTATAACCAAATAAATGGATCTCTGCTAAAATTTTCCTCTAACCTATATTCATTAGATCTCTCCCACAACTTAATCTCAGGACCTATTGCACAAGATATTGGCCCAGCACTACCACAGTTGGAATTATTGTATCTGAATGATAATCTCTTAAGTGGTCCAATACCGACCTCATTATGCGAGATCAAATATCTATATGCGTTGCACCTTGGAAGGAACGAATTAGTTGGTGAAATTCCTGCATGTTGGAAGGACAGCCCTTGCATACACCTTGATTTATCATCCAATAAGTTGTCTGGAGTCATACCGAGTTCTTTGGGAAATCTAATCTCGCTTAGGTCATTACACTTGAACAACAACAGACTCCATGGAGGAATTCCTGTGACCATGAACTATTGTAGGAACTTGCTGGTTTTGGATCTTGGAGAAAACAAAATCTCAGGAAGTGTTCCTCATTGGATTGGACCAACTTTTACATTACTACAGATTCTTAGACTGCGAGAAAACATGTTTAATGGTAGTATTCCTTCGCAGCTATGCTTACTCTCCGCACTGCAAATATTGGACCTAGCGGTGAACAATCTGACAGGAATGATTCCAGAGTGTCTTGGCTATATGAAAGGTATGAAACTGAACAACAGCCTAGATGAAGGCAACTCACTCTCCCCTGCTTCTGCGGCTGCACCTCCCATGCTTGGGCCAATAGCGTCCGTCGCTCCACCAGACTGGACTCAAGAGCATGTGGAGCAGGTCGTGAAGGGGATCGACCTTGACTACACCACACTTGATCTACAGCTTATGGTCAATTTGGATCTCTCAAGCAACAAATTGAATGGACCGATCCCTGGAGAGCTTACCTTGCTTTCTGGATTGCGAGGCTTGAACTTGTCGCGTAACTTTCTTTCTGGAGGCATCCCGACTATGATTGGAGATATGAAATCACTTGAGTCACTTGATCTTTCGAACAATCACCTATCAGGAACAATCCCGCAAAGCTTTTCTGCATTCACATCACTGAGCAAACTTAACTTGTCTCACAACAACTTCACTGGGCCAATTCCGAGAGGAAATCAAATCCAGACCCTTGATGATCCCTCCATTTATGTAGACAATCCTCTACTTTGTGGCAATCCTCTACAAAAGAAATGCCCCGGTGCAGAGGCTCCTCAAGCGCCAGAAGAAGATGCCGATGAAGAAGGTAAGCTTGAAAAGGTGATATTCTACCTCGTCATAATGTTCGGGTTTGCAATCGGGTTTTGGGGAGTTGTTGGCAGTTTGGTTTACAAGAAGAATTGGAGACGCGCATACTTCGACTATGTGGACCGTAAAACAGACATGGTGTACATGATTGTTGCAGTGAAGGTAGCCGAGTTGAGGAGGAGACTGAGAAGAGCGTAACAAGCCTGTTCTCCACATCAATCAGTTCAACACTTCATTGATCTCGTGCAGTTCTTACTTTCTCATTCAAGCATAATCGTCTTAGTAGTTGGCGTGTTCCTCCTTATGACTAGTAGCCAATTTTATGTTTTCTTTAATTTCAAGCTTGTCCGAGCAGGCCGTCAACGGAACGGCATGCGAAGTGCAAATCAGTATCATTTTGTAATTTAGTGTTGCTCAGCAATCTAGCAGTACTTTGTGTTATTATAATCATGATGTTTTGCTTGTCAATGATGTGAAATTATGTTAGGAAATTCCATTTCATCCTGTTTATATGCCTTTTCTGCTAATTGCATATGGAGGGTAATACAAAATCCGGACATGAAATTGTTAATGGCATAGGGCCCTCCAATGTTCATTTTATGCCTTTCCTAAGATTATATTTCCTTTCTCAATTTCGAGACGTGGGAAATTTTTTTGCATGTAATCCAAATCGCAATGGAGGACTCTGTCAAAAGCGTAGAAACAATTCTCCACAATTTGAATACATAGTAGAAGGGCTAGACGTGCTAGTACAGGGGATCAACTGATCATACATGGGCTATCAAACGAGTGAATCACTCAAAAGATCACGGAAATACGATGGCGTTCTCGTTTTCTTTTCTTTTCTTTTTTATCTCATTGTTTAAGAGGAATCCAGGGTCCGGTAATGAGAAATTTACCGTGGTTGTCAGATTTTCTAAGTTACTGATAGTTTCAAATACCATTGGTAAAAAAAAATGTATGATCAGTGACTTGCTTGTCATGTAATCTATTAGTAAATCATTAACATTATCATGAACCAACGTCCAAATGAATTTAAAAATCACTTTCTTTTAAATTTTAGAACTATAGTTGGTAAATTATCATCACTATAATAAATTATCAACATTCAAATAATTAGCTACTGGTTCTGAATTTTAGAGTGTGGTTAATTGACTACTCACACTACAATGGATTTACCAACATCTCAATAAATTAATAATTTAATAAAGTTTGGAAATTTAGTCTTGGTAGTTCACTAAGTATACTTATAATTTGGAAAAAAAGTTGGTAACTTACGAATTTATTCGGATATTGGTAAATTTATTATGATGCCGTAGGTTACTAACCGTACTTGTAATATTTGAAAGAAACAATTGTTAGCTTACTTATTTTTTGGGTTGTTGGTAAATCTATAGAGGATTGGATGTATACTAACCAACTTGTAACATTTTAAAGAAGTTAGTGATATGCTAATTTATTGGAATATTGTCAAGTTCATTATACTTAGTAGTTTACGGAACCACACGGGTAGTATTTGAAATTAATTGGTAACTTACTAACATTCCAATGAATTAATAATTTTAACTTTTTTTTCAAACCGTAAAAGTGTACTTAATAAACTAGAGGTTAATAATTTTAACTTACTAACATTCCAATCGGGTGAATTCACTAAAAACCCCCAACTTTAGATCAAGTCCCAAATCTGCTCCGAACTTTTTTTTGTCTTAAAAAAAACCCCAAACTTTAGGTCAAGTCCCAAATCTATCCCCAACTTTATTTGTCTCTGAAAAAACCTCAAATTTTAAGCTCAGTCTCAAATCTGCCCCGAATTTTGTTTTGTGTAAAAAAAATCAGCAAATTTCAATTTATTTTCAAAAATATACCCCCGTGATCTAGTTCCAACTTAACATGGTACTTCCACGTCGATAACAAATCCACATCAGCAAAGTAATGGGGCGATAAGTACAGACCGACGTTGCATTTCCACTTCAATAACAAATCCAACCCAATAAAAATTGTTGAAATTCTCCAAATTAAAACCATTCTAGGATATGAAAGTTAGGGACGATAACAAATCCACCCAAATTTTTTTTAATTTAAAAAAAATCCTAATTTTTATGTTCAGTCCTAATTTGCTCAGAACTTTTCTTTATCTAAAAAAAAGCACCATTACTTTGTTAATGTTGATTTGTTATCGCCACGTCGAGTTGAGATTAGATCATGGGGGTATATTTTTGAAAATAAATTAAATTTTGGTGATTTTTTCTACACAAAACAAAATTCGAGGCAGATTTGGGACTGGACTTAAAGTTTGGGATTTTTTCTGAGACAAAAAAAAGTTCGGACCAGATTTGGGACTAAACCTAAAGTTTGAGATTTTTTCTGAGATAAAAAAAAGTTCAAAATAGATTTGGGACTTGATTTAAAGTTGGGGTTTTTTAAGGAATTAGGCCCATTCCAATCGGTTTGGACTCTTTTTGGGTAGGATTTCCCTGGGCCGCCGAATCATTTTATGAAAAGTTTGGGACGGTCCTGGCTATTAGGCTACAAATATTGACCGAAAAGAACTGCATCGGCCCAAAAACTAAAAGATAATAAACAATTAAGACTTTAAAAAGATAAACTTTAATCTTCTTTGTCTCTTTCCCTCTCTTTACCCGGGTGTTAAATAACTTACAAAGCAGTCGGTAAATCTAATCGAAGAAGAGTTCATAATTCAGCATTGAAGTTTGTAACTTTGAGACGTTGGTATTTTTTTTTTATGATATTAACTATCAACCATGGGTGTTAAAATCTTAATCTAAATCTAAAAATCAGACGATGTTAAAATTTAAAAGGGACAAAGGACGTAGGTATCGTGTACCTGACTTGATGCAGTTGGCTCGCAGGTTTTGATATTGTACATGATTCTGTATATAAATACTCGTGCATTTTAAAATGTTTTAGGTGCGTCTCAAATTGCAAAAGTCATATTCTGAGAGTAGAATTTTACTATACCAAGTTAGCAAGAGCCTTCCTGATAAGTCATGTGTTTTGATTGATACTTGTTAATTTTTCAAAGTAAATTTCACTAATAATAAGGCCTTTGTGCCACGTAAACTTTTGAAACTTCTAACATTTGTTGCAGGAGGAACAAGGACATGATTTCACAGAATGAACAAGGTCACTATCTCTCAGCTTGATATTTATCTCCACACCATTATTTTTCTCTTTTTTTTGTGGGGGGGGGTGGTGGTGGTGGTGGTGGGTGGGTTTGGTTTAGGAATTAGTTTGTTTCAGGTAATGAAATTCATCTCATCGAATGTATGAATCAATCCACTCCCTCATAATGCTAATTAACTGCGAGTCACTCGCCAACTCCTCTACCTGGTTACTCCATTTTTTTATTCGTCTGAAAGAATAGGGCATTAGGGTCTCATCATCGAGTCAGCAGGTAAAACCTTAGCCAAATATTTCAAACCTACCATCATGACAATCGAACTTTTTTATTAATCTCACCTACGGAAAAGTTTGGGAGAATCCAACGAGAGTTTGAGGAGTGAATAGGGATTGAATCCTGAGAGCCGCATTTAGTGGTCGGAACATTATCAAGAAACCATGAGATGTTTGGTATTGCCTCTATAAGAGCTTCTTGTCTAATGCACCAATGCTGAGGGCACCTTCTAAACTACGAGAAGCTCAGCGTGAAATCGCTCGGAGTGATCATTTAACAAGTTGTTCATGTTCATTCTTAGATGAAAGGGTTGGTATCAATCTTTTGTACTTGATGCGAAACTATTGAACCATTTTTAGAATACTAGAAGCACTTGATGCAAAACAACAGTCTCCATGGGGAAATTCCTGCGACTATGAACTATTGCAGAAACTTGCTGATTTTGTATCTTGGCGATAACAAAATATCTGGAAGTGTTCCACATTGGATTGGACCAAGCTTTCAGCTACTACAGATTCTTAGATTGCGAGAAAACATGTTCAATGGTAGTATTCCTTCATAGCTATACTTACTCTCAGCACTGCAAATATTGGACCTAGTAGTGAACAATCTGATAGGAATGATTCCGGATTGTCTTGGCTATATGAAAGGTATGAAACTGAACAAAAGTATAGATGAAGGCAACTCACTCTCCGCTGCTTATGCACCTGCACCTCCTGTGCTTGGCCCGACGGCTTATAGCATCGCTCCAGTAGATTGGAATCAAGAACATGTGGAACAGCTCGTGAAGGGGATAGACCTTGACTACACAACACTTGATCTACAGCTTATGGTGAATTTAGATCTCTCAAGCAACAAATTGGTTGGGCCGATCCAAGGAGAGCTTACCTTGCTCTCCGGATTGCGAGGCTTGAACTTATCGCGCAACTTTCTTTCTAGAGGCATCCCGACTATGATTGGAGACATGAAATCGCTCGAGTCACTTGATCTTTCGAATAATCACCTTTCAGGAACAATCCCAAATAGCTTTTATGCATTCACATCACTGAGCAAACTAAACTTGTCACACAACTTCACGGGGCCAATTCCGAGAGGAAATCAAATCCAGACCCTTGATGATCCTTCCATTTATGCTGACAATCCTCTACTTTGTGGCAATCCTCTACAAAAGAAATGCCCGGCTGCGGAGGCCCCTCGAGCGCCATAAGAAGATACCAATGAAGAAGGTAAGATTGAAAAGGTGATGTTACTTCGTCATAATGTTTGGGTTTGCAATTGGGTTTTGGGGAGTTGTTGGCGGTTTGGTGTACAAGAAGAATTGGAGGCGCGCGTACTTCGGCTATGCGGAACGTAAAGCAGACATGGTGTACATGATTGTTGCAGTGAAGGTAGCCGAGTTGAGGAGGAGACTGAGAAGAGCGTAACAGGCCTGTTCTCCACATCAATCAGTCCAATGCTTCATTGATATCGTGAAGTTCTTGTTTTCTTGTTCAAGCAGAATCGTCTTAGTAGTTGGCTTGTTTCTTCTTTTGACTAGCAGCCAATTTTTTGTTTTATTCAATTTCAAGCTTGTCCGAGCCAGCCGTCAGCGGAACGGCATGGGAAGTGCAAATCATGTCATTTTGTAATTTAGCATTGCTCAACAATTTAGCAGTACTTTGTGTTCTTATGCTCATGATGTTTTGCTTGTTAAAGATGTGAAATTATGTTAGCAAGTTCCATTTTCGTCCTGTTTATGCTTTTGCTGCTAATTGCATGTTGAGGGTAATACAAAATCAGGACATGAAATTGATAATGGCATAGGGCCCTTCAATGTTCAATGGATTTCTTTCCTAAGATTATGTTTCCTTTCTCAATTTCGAGACATCAAAAATACCGGACCATCCCAATCAGCTCGGACTGTTTTTTGGGTTGCGTTTCCCTGGACGGTCACTGCTATTGGGCTACAAATGATAAATTCCAAAGAGACCTGCACCGGCCTAAATTTTAAAATAATAACAAACTATAATTGAAAAACCCTAATCATCATTTTGTCTTTTCCTCTCTTTACCTCAATCGCGTTC